TTGTCTTCATGACCACCAACTACGTGGACAGGTTAGAGCTGCCCTCTGGGAGGGAACAAGGAGGGTAGCACAGAAAACCTTGCTCCCTTTTGATGACCTATATTGAGGGCTATTTGCATCCTCCAGTGTGAGAACTGAGGGTTCAGGTTTCCCGAATCCTTCCTTGGGATGCAAATCCCTGGATTGCTAATTGGGATCCCCTTTGCTGGAGCCTCAGATGCTTCCCTGCTGTTCAGACCATGGTTGGGCCCTTCAGAAGGGGTACTGGCTTCCTGCCCATGGGGATCTGCAGATTTTGGGGTTGTGGCCGTGCTGTGAGTTAAACGCTGGCCCCACGTGCAGCCCGTTGGGTTGACAGGATGCAGCCTGGGCTCACGGCACCCAACCAGACACTGCCCTGTGGCAGGCTTGGCTCACTCCAGACCCAGCTGGCCTAGGGGGTTGTTCAGAGGCTGTTCATGGGACACAGATGGGCAGAGCTGTTTCCCAGGACCCACTTGTCCTCCTCCAGAGCCAGCCCTTCCCCAGCTCTCTTGCTCCTTTTTGGTTGATTTCCCTCCTCAACTCCCAGGGACAAACCTCTTCCCCACGTTTACATCCCACAGTGCAGAGGACCTTGCAGATAGGATGCTGTCTCTGCTTGCATGGAAAGGGGGGGCTTCCTGCAGGCCCCACCCTGCAGGGAAACTTTGATCAGGTTTTCAAGGCACCCGTGTGTCTCGACAGGCTGGACCCAGCCCTGGTGCGTCCTGGCCGTGTGGATCTCAAGCAGTACGTGGGCCATTGCTCCCACTGGCAGCTTGCCTGCATGTTCCAGCGCTTCTACCCTGAGCAGCCTGCAGCTGCAGCTGAGCGGTTTGCAGAGCAGGCGCTGGCAGTCTCCAAGCAGATCAGCGCTGCCCAGGTCCAGGGCCACTTCATGCTCTACAAGACGGACCCCCAGGGAGCCATTTCAAACATACGCTCCATCCTGCTGTGACCAGGGACCTGCTTTGCCCCACCGCACCAAGAGGACTGGGACAAGGACTTGACCATCCTGGGGATGCTGTGGAGCTGCCCAGACACGCAGGCCAGGTCTCTGCTCACCTCTCCTCGACAAGGTCTTGGCTTTTTATTAAAACATACAGAGTCAGAGCTGCCAGCCCTGCAGGAGGGAGCGGGGATCGGCTCTTGCTGCTCCCCAGACTTGGGTGCTGCTGTACCGGCCCCGCTTGCCAGTGCATGCGTCCTGCTGGGATTGCCGTAAGGTGCCAAGGCATGTGAACCCCCTTCCTTGCGGGGCAGCCTGGGTGTGCCCCAGACGGGCATTTCCCTGGGCCAGGACATTGGGGTGCTGCACTACTAAAGAGCTGCTGAACTCTGAAGGGAGAATGGTCATCACTGGTTTGTGAATATCCTCTGTGAAGTGCACAAAATGTCTCTTGGCTCCCCAGTCCCTTTGCCTGTTAGTTGCCCCACCCCAGCTGCTGGGCCAGAGCCCACCCGACCAAGGCCTGGCCCAGCCAGTACTGCAAATCCAGAGTGTTTCAGAAAAAAGCAGCCCCCAAGAGACAGCTCGTTGTCCCTTGGGCTGCAGGCTGGTGCCACAGCTCCTGCCCTGCTGGGCTGTGACAGCCAGTAGCAGGTCTGCTTGGACATCATTGCTGGGCAGGTATGACTGTCCCTCCTGCCAGAGGAGGAGACGTGGGGCCCTGGAGCTACTGCAGGCCTGCATGTAGGGGCAGAGGAGAGGCTTTGGCTGGTTACAGAGTCTCTTCCCATGAGCTCGATGTTAACCCCAACATGAATTTCTGCAGCCAGGCCAGGCCCGTGTGAGGTATAGTAATGCCTCTTGGAGGTGACTACTCTCTTTCCAGCAGGAGAGGCCCTGTGTGGCTGAAGGAGGGATTTGGCCTGCTGTTGGCGGTCTTGCAGCCTTTTCCATGTCACTGTCCTTCCTTCCTGCCAGGAACAAAACTCATGGATGGGCTGGTAGAGCTACAGGTGCCTGAAATGCAATCGAGAAGCAGGCAGGATCACCGTCACAGAGCCAGAGGTCAGGGTGTGCACACTGACTTTCAGAATCAGCCAGACAGAGCCTCTCCCCTCCCCAGTCTTTTTTTCAGAGTCCTGAAACCAGATTCCCCAGAGCCAGCCCCAGGTTCATGTCCTCATTTCAGGGTTGCATCACTTCGGCGGGGCTGGGGGAGCTGGTTCCAGGACAAACTGAAACCATTAGTTCAGTGCTTAGCCCTCCTCTTGGCTTTCCCCTGTAGGGTACAAGGGCGAAGCTGAGAGTGCGTGGGGATGCAAAGAAGGCCAGTGATACCACCCGTCTGAATTTCAGCACAGACTTGTGCAAACATTTCTGCAAGTGAAGGGCTGATCCTGTGGCCGCAGGGTGGGGGTGTCTCTAGTGTCTCAGGGTGGCTCCCAGAGCAGGGGTCTGCTGTTGGCACCTCGAACCCCGTGCTCAGCCATCCCACAGAGGCTGACTGCTCAGATCCAGCCTCTTCCCTCACAGCTGGGAGCCAAAACTGGCCAGGGAGTGGCTTGCGAACAGCCCACAGCAGTTCAGGAGGATGGGGGAGTGGTGAGGGAGAGCCAGAGGGGCCCAAAGCCATCATAAGAGAGCACAGACATCTGTCACTCTGCTTGCTTTTGCTTTTAATAGTGTTAATGCTACAGATGCCACCGGGGCCCTGTCGCCCGGCCTGAGTGCTTTTGCCAGTTAAGCCTCACAACAGCCCTGTGAGGTAGGTGGGTGACACAGGCGGACACTGAGAGGAGCCCCAGGGCAGGTGCAGGCTCTGTTCTTCCCTTCCAACCCAGAGGTTTGTTTTGTTTAGCCCAAATTCATTTCCACACGCTGCTGGAAAATGTCCTCTCCCCCCGGCTGACAGCAGGGAGTCAGAAAGGTGAGGGCCTTACCTAAATCCCTACTCCCAGGAAAATTCCCTCCCCTCTAACACGCCTGGCATTTGATTGAAGTTAGCCAAGTCCTTGCTCTCTCCAATTTCCATGGCCAAATTCCCATGCTCCAAACACTGGGCACAGCAGCAGCTTT